CTTTAGCCATCAAACAGATTTACTCCCTTAGAATCCATTGTAGGACATATCCGATCAAATTACCAAAAGGCTTTAGCCAACCCATACGATCCATATTCATCAATGTCATCCTTTATGTAAAGAAAAATCCAATGGAATACCTCTTCGGCATCCCTAACCACATTGATAGAAAACAAACCCTAGAAAAACTAGCCAAAACAATCTTACCTCCGAATTTCCATCATATACCAACTGAATCTTTCAAAACCCTCTAATACTACCAAGCAATTCTCAGTGAGACCGAAAGCATTGCCATCAAACCCATTTACAGAAACACCCATGAAAACAAAATACTCTACCATTCCCTCCATATTGGAAGATTCCTTACCGAACAAGAATGGGAACTCCCCATTTATCACACTAAATCACTCCATACCCAAAATGTTCTCATTCCCAACAACCATTATAATTACTTTGATTACATTCAAGCATGGGCCAACATATTCCTACACCAAACATCTAATTTTAGTCACTCTTGGTTCATCACATTTGACAAAAGTTTCAAGTTAAACTTCCCAACATGGTTTCCCAATTGGTGGTCAGCACACGGCCCAACAACCAGCTTACTACCCGAAGATCTCATGCAAGTTTTATCATCTGGTTTCTAGAAAAGGTTTGATCGAAGCCGGTTCGACGACAGGATCACTCTTCCACCGTTGTTCATGGCAAAATACAAGGTCCATTGGATCATGAAATGGAACTACGAAGTTGAAACAGGACAAGTATACCGTTCCCGGTGGGTTAAATGGTGGGACAAGTTTGACTACCAAAAAATTATCAGTTTAGTCTCATTAGAATTTCCTATTGTTCTTGTTCCAATAGTATCTCCAACAACAACAAAGGCATTGCCAAAAATTCCAAAAAACACACAATCATTATCAGACATTAGTTCTTCATCCTCCCTTAAAGAAAAAACTAAATCATCCAGGTTTTCCAAAACAACAAGTTCGAAGAAAAAAGAGAAATCCTCACAGCTCAAGGAATTAGCAGATAAGATTATGGTAGAAGCAGGCTTGCTGCATAATGAAGAAGAAGACATAAATTCCGGCTCATTAGACGCTTCGTCTCAACCCGTCAAGTAGGCAGATTACCCAAAATCCCAAGACCCATTTGAAATTTGAAATTTTGAAAATGTAATAATTTGTAATCATTTCAGGGTTTTACTCATTTAAATTGCACAGTAGAAGCCATATGATTTCTCGCCGAAAGCAACATCAGCAGTAGCATCAATCATTCAGACATAACACTATTCATGAATAGTAAAATCACTTTTTACTATTCATCCATCATTTCAACCAACAGCAGCGTGAATCCACAGTGAAAACATCAACATTCGCCAGTCTTTATAGCCTTTGGCACATGCAAGCGACAGCCGGCAGTAGGATTCTCGGCCTCAATCATCTCACTCTTATCTACAAAAGAAGAATTCAATTTCAGAAGAAGGGGACTTTAGTCGAAAATAGCTGAGACTTATGGGAATTCTCCTAAGAACAGAAGCCATTATTCAACTCCATCCCATATCCAGTAAAATTATCAAACAATTGTATTTTATTTTTAATCAAGGATGCATGTGAGCACCACTGTTTTCCTTATCAATCTTCAATAGAAGAAATTGTAAGTTGGTTTCCAATTTGAAATAAAATTATTTTGAAATCTATATCTGCATCATTAATTTAAATTCATTAATTTCATTATGAAAAATATTTTCATAACCACTGATTTTGAATGACATAAAATTCTTACACATAGTCAATTCATTGAGTATCTCAAATTCAAGGTAAATACGTATCAATCATTCATCATCTTCTTCCTTACTGTTTATAACATTTGGTATGATATCTGCACTCTCAATGAACATAATGACTGTAGTCTTGATTGTTGTCTTCATAATTTCTACCATCATCAGTAGATATATACGCTCCGCACCCATTTGGTGTATATATGTGTGTGTGTATATATATATATATATATATACACACACACTTTATTTATCATTCACTTGGTATGTGAAGATGTTTCATTTCGAAAATGAAAGATAGACTATACTTGGAACAAAATTCTTGAGACTGTTGAGGTGTGCCTATATAAAGCATATTATCAGCTTTTAATGCATTTTCAATCTGGTCTGTAATTTCTTTCAATTAGGCTCATGAAGTTTGATTACTCTTCATTTTCAATTGTACCAATTAGGGTCATAAAGTGGTTCAAAGAGCTCCAAGAGCTTGATTCACCCATTTTATACTTTTCATGTAAAACTTCTTTCAAAAGGCCAAAACATCTTTCATTGTAAATAAATTTAACCATAGGTAACAATCTTTTATCTTTTCTTTTGGTTTTTTGTTGCATTGTTTAGGTGGTGAATTGCGCGGAAAATGGGGGAAAGGGGTACAATTTATTTAATTTGAGCAAAATAGTAGCATTTAAGCTTAGTTGGTTAGTGAGGATTAGAGTCAATAAGGCGTCATCTGTCTAGCTATATTTAAAATCTGAATTCATTGAATGATGAATGAGGTTGTAGTGAAAGAAATTAAGAAAGTCAAGAAAAGATCCATACAATATGTTGTATGTTGTGGGATATCTCAACATCTTAATTTCTACTCCCAGGTTGCTGAAAGTTTGTAATTCTACTTGCTACTTGATTATAAAAATGTAAAACAAAATCTGTACATGATTTACAATTTCTATTTGATTTTAGATGCTTTTCCAGTGTAAGGCATATGTTGCATATGCATGTAAATGGTACAAATTGTTTTGGTTTTGGACAATAAGCTTTTGAGTTTTACAATCCTAGCAAGGGGATTGTGAGTCCAATAAATTTAGGGCTGCTTTGGTATTGTTGTGTTTTGAAAAAAAAATTGCTTCTGCTGTGCTGTGAGAATAAGCAGCTATGAAATAAAGCAGTAGAGTGTTTGGTAAACTTTTTTTGTAAAAGTGCTTTTGAAAAAAAAAGCAGTATTATAGTGCTTGGTAAACTTTTATGTAAAACAGATGTGAAAAAAGTCGGTTTTTCAAAGCTGGGTTTTGCAGCTTTGTGTTTTTGGCTTTTTTCACCCAAAACTATGAAAAAAAGCTGAAGCTGAATGTTTACCAAACACAAAAAAGCTCCCAACTTTTTTTTATACCCACTTTTTTCAGAATCACCTAAGTTCCAAACCAGGCCTTAGTGTTGAGGGATACAGTTTGGTTCTCCTTAATACATAATATAACAAAGGCCTAGAAATTTTCCTTCAAGGAATATGCAAATATTTTTAGCGCATCTTGGCCTGCAGTTTGTATGAAGGGGCAATAATGCATGTTATCTGCATTGGTGCATTTGAGGGTGTGATTCCGTTTTTACCGCCTTTTTAGGTTTGAACATTTGTGCTTGACAACTTAGCTGCTTGAACAAGAATAGAACACTTTTTCTGTTTTTTGGTAATTGCTAAAACAGGTGCCTAGCCTGTAGGACATATATTTTGCCGTCTTAACTGCACGGGCAAAATGTGTGAACTGCATGTTACTTCTGTTTCATATGGAAACAGGGCTTCTGCATATTTTTGCCTTTGAACATTTGTGCTTGAAAAATTAGCTACTTGAACAAGTACTAAACACTTTCTATGTATTTTTATTAAGTGCTGGAATAGGTGTCTGCCCTGCAGGGCACATATTTTGCCATCTAAACTACACAATATGTGTGAACTGCATGTCGTTTTTGTTTCTTTTGGAAACAAAACTTTTTGGTCAACCATGTCTTTGTGATCAAGAGTGTTCAGTTTCTTCCTACTAATTGTGCAATGTCTTTACATGTTAGTTCAGTTGAATGCATATAGAAGCTAAGCTGCTTAACTTATCGACCTCATTCTCATGTTTCCCTCTGTTTATTTATGATTGTGTTGAATTTATTTAGGTTAAATATGTCTTATTCATGCAGTTATGGCTGAAACAGCGGTTCTCGCTGCAACGCGCGGGCTTATTTTCTAGTATATACTAAAACCCAGTTGGGTTTTGGCACTGTTCATTAATAGTGTCAAGATGGAAATGCCCTCTAAATAATGGTCTTAGCTATAGGGGTGGGCGTGGTGCGGTTCAGTGCGGTTTCAAGTGAAACCACAATCGAAACTGAAACTTTTTATGGTGTGGTTCAGTGCGGCTTTGAAGCCAAAATCAAAATGAAACCAAACCGTTTGGTTCTGTTCGGTGCGGTTTCAAACGGTTTCGGTTTGGTTTTTGAGAAAAAAATGTACAATTTAAATATACACCAAAACTATAGCAAAAAACAGCAACTAACATGTACCAAACCTGCGCCAAAGGTCCAAAATTGCAACAAATGACAACTATTAAAATTGAGACAACATCCAATGCATCAATGTGCATGTTTTGGGAGTTTAAGTTAGGGTAAATTAGGCTAAGAAAGTGAAAAATATACATGGAGATTAGTGGCTCTACAACTGGAGCTATGCTTCCTCACAAACAAGTACGATGAGACAAATGTTTGCAAGTCAACAGAAGACAGCTCTCAAACCAAAATGAAATTATTTAGGTCCTAGTAAATGTAGTATAAACCATAATGCTAGGACACTAAATTATCTGCTGAATAATTTTGGGTGAACTCAGGCAAACTCTACAGTCCAGTTAACAATTTAACAAGTGTAAGGAAAAAAACGGAGCATATAATAGGCAGAGAGTTAACTTATAATCTTATATAAACCAAAATATGATTCGTATGCAGTATAAGTTGATATATGAGCAATTTCACAAACGGTGTGGATATGAGCAATATATGGTGCGGTTTCGGTTTCAGTTTCGGTACGGTTTTGAAAAATCCAAAATCGAAATCAAACCGTTTCTTTGCTGCGGTCCGGTTTTGAAACAGCAACCGTTTCAAAACCGCAAAATCAAACCGTTCAATGTGGTTCGATTCGATTTGTGTTTTGATTTTAGTTTCGATTTTCGGTTTCAAGTGCCCACCCTCAGCTAGGTTTCTCTCGGCTTCTGTACAGTGAAATGGCTGTTTGTCCCTTTTGATTCAACGCGTCCATCATCCATGGATGTTTTGGCTTTAGTTATTCTGGATCTTTCTTTTGCTTTCGGCTATTCTCTCTCGCATGTCTCCAGTTGCTTTGTTTCTCGCCGTCCGTTTTTCCCCGCCTTCGCTTCTGTTTTCTTCATCGTGTTGCTTCGTTGTTCAAAACGTCAACCATTTTGGGTTCGATTCCAATAATTTTTTGGGTTTTTCGTTCATTGAATCCGGGTTTTCCAAGTAAGTTTTACATGTATATTACCGCACGAGGTTTCGATTTTCCATGTTTTTTTGGATCTTTTTTGTTAATATCTCATGGGCTTTGCTTTTTGATTTTAGAAATTTTGTGCTCATCTTGGGTTCGCTTCGAACTTGGTTGCAACCGATCTAATCCGGCGTTTCCAGGTGAGTTTTGCATGTTTATCAGCTTATATGGTTTCGATATTTTGTTTTTCGTTGGATCGTTGTTGTGTGTGTCTGATGCGTTTTGTTTTCCAGATTCGGGAAACAGTCCCTTTCAGATTTTTGGATTTTCGATTCTGATTCTTGGAACTCTCTGTGCTAAAGGTATATAAATGTATTATTTGTTTTTTCCTTTGTTTTCTTTGCGGCTGACTTTTTTTTTTTGGTTTTGTTTTGGTGATTTGGGACTTTTTTTTGTGCGTGTTTGGGTTGTTAATTGGTGATGCATATTTTCTTGCTGATTTTTGTGCTAGCAATTTTATTTAAATCCATAGCTTCTTCTTTTTATTTGACTTGCTATGATGGTTATGCTTGATTCATAAGATTTGAAGTAGTGGTGATAAAATTGGAAGAGTGATATCTACGTTATTTTGGATTTGTAAAAGTGTTTTGTCAAAGTGATGGGTAAATTTTCATATGTAGTGTAGGGTCAAGTTTAATAATCATTAATGCGATTTGGTATATGTTTGGTAGATACACAGTTTGTTGGTGCAGGAGGGGGTTGGAAAATTTTTTCAGTATGTTTTTTATGGTACCTGCCTACTCCTTAATTAATTTTTTATTAATTCAACTTTAACCATTGATTATTACAATTCTTCCATTTTTGCTGGTGAACGTACAGATAATGGTGTGGACTATGAAGGAAGCTTGCTTTGTGTTGGAAGTACGTTGATGTCTTGGGCTCTCATCGAAATCTCTGATATCACTCCTGATAGGTATTTGCTCTACACTTTTTTCTCCTTTCATTTTTTCAAATGTATACATGAAAACTTTGGGATGGCAATGATAACGTGTCTATATAATTGTACCAACACAATGTACCACTATGTTATTTCGATGCATTTTCTACAAATTTAGGATTTAGATAGAGTAATGATTTAGATAAGGGTATGATGTGGCTGATATGAACGCAATCCACTTCTTTGCTTCATAACGTGGATGTTGAATGCATGCACTTTTTTAATTTTATATGCAAACAAAATCAAACCTTCTGTTTGCTTTTGTTTTTTTGCTTGCTTCTGTTTTCAAATTTATTTTATTATAATTTTTGTTTTGGGATTAATTACATGCTTAGAGTTTTAGTAGATTTGGATTAAATTTTGGTTGAACAGATTGTGCAGTTGCAAATCTTGATCTGATGGATAGGATTGTATAAAGAATTCGTGGATTTATCATCTAAAATTATTTATATTTTTAAGATTTTAAATTGTTTTATGATGCCAAGTTTGGTAGAAAGAAAACGCCAGAGCCACAGCAGAACGGGCAGTCCACTGCTGGAGCTGTGAGTAATGGGAGTAGTAATTCTCGTGTCACAGCAAATGGGAATATGTGAAGAGAAGACTGACTTGGTCATCTATGAGCAATTTCAAAACCAGGTTGTGGATTTAATCTTATCATATGCTACATTGCATGGAAGAATCAGATATGCCTATTCATCTGCAAGGTGATTGTTTTACACCTTAAAATACCGTGTGAATTTATTTCACTAACATTGCATTGGTTTTTTAATTTGATATGTTGTTTTGGTGTTTGAAAATCAAAGAACTTTTAAATATATGCAAATTTGGTTGACAATTAAGTGCAATTCATTGTGGTCAAGGCATTGGTTTGTGGACAGTTGGAATTCATTTTGCTAAAATAAGATAAATCTCTTTTTGCAGCCTGCAATTGGCTTTCAATTAGAGAACTGTACAAGGTTAATTTATTTTTTTTGTTCTTTGACCAAAGCTTTAAGAGCTTTGTATTAACAGAGTCCTAAGGGATTCCTTGGATTATTTTGCTTGAGATGAGCTGTATTTTGGAAATTCTATGAATATAATTGACATGGATTCTTGAATTTATGAGTGTTCAATTAGGTTCTACTGAATTAACTGTTTTTGAGAATTTGTCTTTGTCTTTATTTTTTTGAGATTTGATGGTGTTTTTCTTTAGCCTGAATACCTTCGATGGTTCCTAGATTATATCTCCAACATTCCTTAGAAGAAGATGGTTGCTACTGTGTTGCATTCTACGTCCTTGGGCTGAAACCATAGGTTACTGTGCATCCTCGCTGCTCAATGTGCTCATCAAAATATAAAAAAATGAATATTTTCAGTCAATTTAATTATCATTACGTTATATTATTTTTGTTTGTTGATTAATGTTTGCAGATATATGGAACGTTTGCAAATTCACTTCATCACACATACATTAAATGATTGCTAAGAACTCTTCCTCTGCTGCCATTATTGGGCCTTCTAGGACATTGTCTTCGGCGATGTATGTCGAGTCCAAGAGGGTGTGGGTGTGGACGGAGATTAAATAGGTTATGATGGCCACCATGAAAGAGGTTGGAAGACCTTGGTCTTAGGTTCTAAAAGCCATGAGCTTGCTGATGAGTGGTCCCGTAAGCTCATTAAAACTATTTAAGTTTTGGGTTTTGCTGTACAGCAGCACACTTTTTCCAGAAAATGAGTTTCAGCTCAATAATCTTACTCAACCATTAAATATATACTTATTCAAACTTTACTCTCATGTTACAAATGTTTTTACAGGGCATGTCTCAGCAACCATCAATACAGAATGCAACACCAAAAGATTTACAGGGATATAAATGGAGATTTTGCCATATAACTCAAGGTATTCTTAAATTTAGTCACTTTTAATCATCTATCTGTGAAACCAACTTTACTCTCATTGTTGATATTTGTTATACAACCACAAATCAAATATATACATCCCGTTATTATGAAACTAATGTTTTTTAGAAATATTAGTTTCTGTCATCATGTCAGCCCCCAAAAATGGAATTCCAATGGTAACCAACATATGTAATAGTATTTATATTTGTCGAAACCTATAAATAATATTCTGGACATTTTATTGATCTTACGATCCTTGCTGCAAAGTGTTTACAATTGTACTCTATTTTATGGATCTTACGATCCTAATCAATTTCTGTTTCTGCAGGTGAAGCTGAGTCTGGGTTGGAACGGCTTCATCAATGTGCAGATAAAGAGCTACAAGTTTACCTCAATGATAAGGAATTTCAATGAGTTTAGCACAAAACTTGCTCGATTGACCAGGTTATGTTCTACTAAAGATATTACACTACTTTTCTGATTGGATAAGTTGACTCGGGTCACAATGATATAGCTTTTCAGTTTATTAATACTAACATATTAGTTTTGCTAAGTGGGAATGCCATAATATAAATTTTATAGAAATGATGAATGGGCCAATTTGAAATACCAAATTTCAGCTGATGAAAGAACTCTTATATGACTGCCACTGCATATACTCATCTTTTATTTTATTGGGTTTTATTTATATATCATTTTTTTGGGTAAAATGCAATGTTGGTTTCGCAAAGAACTAACCTTTATCTTATCTACCGCTCTATACGCATGTAGTTTTCTCTTTTTTGGTACTCGAGTATTTGGTTGATTTATTTAACAATCTTTTGGAATATAGAGATTTTTTGCACCAATGTCTTATTCCTGGATTTCCTGATGATTTAGCATTGAGATGTTAGGCAAAGGTGTCTCATGGGAATCACAGATTGCTCAAAACTATCTCAAAGAAGTGGAGAGATTTGTTACTAGCTCAGACTATGCCAACTATGAAGCTATAGAAAAATGGTGCGGAAATTGGTATAATCCAATAGCTAATAAGTGTGCTCCTATGTTCGACACTTAAAATATGTCTAGAACTGATGTTACCATTACCACTTTCATTTTTATAGAAGGAAAGGTTTTTCATTTTCTACTTCATATATATTAGTTAATTCTTGCTAAGATTTGTCCAAACTGTTTTTGTTATGTCAAAGTTGAAACCTTTTTTTTATGGTTGTGAATAGATTTCACATGTATGTAAATTGTATATGTACACGGTATAACTTTCTACATATTTTATACGATTTTAAAACCCGCAGCATCGTCCGGGCACTTTTGCTAGTATTATCTATAATTAATCGTTTGACCAAAAAACAGAAAGTCATTTACTGTCTTCTTACTAAACAATGGCAATATTATGGTAGGCAGCCTGAAACTGTCTTTAACTCATCCTTAAATGCAGCATCTAATAAAATAATTGATAGCTAACACGTGAGGAGCCCTGTGCGGAGATTATAAGAGCAACTTCAGCGTATCAAGGCCTAGGTCAACTTCGTATTGAATAGCCTTTAGTGAACAATAATTGTCTTTAATGAATAGTAGTTGCCTATTTCATCTCCATTCCTAAACTGAATAGTCATGATAATATGCAATAAAATATTACTATTTTATATTCTATAAAATAATAAAAAATAATTTTATTTCAAATTTTGAATATGACTTTTAAATGGTCTTGTTGTACCATGTTTCATTAAATAAGAAATTACAACCCAAAGTATCTGAGAAAATATAAAATTGTGGTGTAAGGTGGAAGATAATGATAAGATATTTATAGAAAAATTAATATATTTTTTTAATTTTTAAACAATTTTCAAAATTTTTTATCAATTGTTTACATCTTTTTTATTTTTTATTAATTTTTTACATTTTTTTATTAATTTATAATGACGTCATACTGACGTCAGCCACGCATCATTTGGCCTCAGGCTCTTAGGCCACCAACTCCAGCTGGGCCTCTCACTTTGGCCCCTCCCTCAGCCCACACGCCCGCATGGGCTGGAGCAAGCAGCTCAGGATATTGGGTAGGAAAAATCAAAGGTCAATCGGGCTATTGGTTATGGTGGAGTTGCTCTAGATATGACCCTCACTAACAGTCTTCTAATTATGTAAGGATAATGATAGGGATACTAAATTATCAATCAAGCAAATATAAAGATATCTTAGATTTCTTTATCACGGTAACCAAGTTTACTTTTCTTAGAGACCTTATTTTGATTTTATAAATTCGTCCAAGCGCAGAAGATAAAATATTCGAATATTGTGAATTTAAATATAACCCTAAAACCTTTAACTTTAACTAAACTTAATAGAAACAAAGGGAGAGATAACAATACATATACCATTATAATAATAAATCAAGAACTAGTCCAAATCTAAATGCTCTAGCAAACGATGCAGCCAAGATGCACAGCTGCTCTGATCACTTGCACTGCAAACTTCTGAGCGTCTTGGATGACAGTTCAAATGCAATGGTGCAGTCCATGTTGGAAGACTTCTTCTTTTTCATTATAAGCATCAATTCAACCTTTCCCGTCAACTTAGCTGCGCTGTTGAGAGTCAACACCCCGCTGCTCAATTCACTGCCAAGATTCGAACTGCTTAATGAACTCGAGCTCAAGCTGACCTCTACATTCACTTTTTTGGTGGAAAGCATTCCAGCCTTGCTCTTTGGAATATCAACTTGCCCGACAGTCGCTCCTTGGTACAAAAACGTGACATTGCTAGCATCAAACTTGTAACGACCCCAGTTTGGGTTCTTGATCCTTATTTGGGTTGTGAATTTTGTGTCAAATGAAGGCGTTGCTGGGACAGAGTTGAGGTCTTGAATGTTGATATTGCCTAGCCTAACCTTCGGAGTCTTAACTTTCATGACGGTGAGACTAATCACAGTTATGACAATGATCTGAAACACAATGAAAATACCAATATAAACGGCCAATTTGATTCTCTTCTTGCGTTTCAGCTCATCAGCGGATTGCAAAGACTCAGTATCACTTCTTGTGTAACCATTTGCTGGTGCTAAGGGATCAGCCTGTCGAGTGCTCTCAGCCATCGTTCTTAGAATTCTTCGGATCTTTTGATGAGTGAAAGGAAAAATTCTCTATTTCTTGGATATGAAACTTTGAGTTAGAGGAAGTTGTTTGTGAAAGTGAAGGACGAGTAGTATGTTATATATAGTTTTTGGAGTTTGTACAATTTCAATAAGTTAAGTGGCGGAATGAACTTCCAGGAACATGTGAGTTTCAGGCAAAGAATTTTATTTCAGACACGGACACCAGACGCGTCCAAAGACACAGGCGGGGATTAATTATTGGCTTCTAGATGATCGATGACTTTGGTGAACTGAGGACCTTTTTAGGCTTTTGCTGAGTCATGAATCATGATACGGACATTTTAAATAATTAACATAAGCTTCCATTCATATAGCTAAAAGTCAAGAATCAATGGTTCTCGAGAGTCAACATAAGAAACTAAAAACAATTAAGGCAGCTACAGAATTGTTTCTTTTATTCATGGATAATAACAAAAGAAAGGATATTCCATATAAACTTGCTTCCCTTCTGTTTTACAAAAGGCATTGAGAAACTAGCTTTGTTCTTACTTCCTCCAACATACATTTCTTTCATTTTTCCTTCATGATAATATTTCTAAGTACTTTGATTGGGAGGAAGGATAAAACGTTCTTTTTCTGAGACATGGGTAGTGCGGTCCACAGACCAGTTTGTACTTCTTGTAAAGGATAGTATTGTAAAAGACTCAGTTAGTTATAAAACTTATAGTTGGTTAATTTGTTGAGTTTGTTGTAATAGGTGGCAAGTTAGTTAGAAGGTTAGAGTTATGTGAGAGAGTGAAGAGTTGTGTATAAACAACAAATAGTGTAACTTTATAATTCATTCAATGAAATTCAACTTTCTTAACATGGTATCACCCACCATTTGTCCACCAACTTGATCCAAATCTCACGCTTTCCCGCTCAAAGCTTCTTTGCTAAGCTTTCATCAAAACCCTAATCTTCTTTCATGGCCACCTCTGCTTCTCCCTCCTTTGAGTCGACGACATAAATTCATCCTTCTCCTCTCTCAAATTCCAGTTTTTCTCTCTCCACACCTTCAATTACGATCCAGAATATTGGATCTATGGTGCCAATCAAGCTGACCACGACCAATTACCTTACTTGGAGTGCACTATTTGCTCCGATCTTCCGTCGCTATAACCTCACCGGAATTCTTGATGGCTCAGCCAGTGTCGGTGTTCCGGTTGAAGATTCCAAACTCATTTATGTTACACTTCATGGTTTACCACCAGAATATGAGTCGTTTGTTGATGCGATTCAATTTCGGCTTGGCTCCACCACTCTTGATGAACTACACGACCTTCTTCTCAATAAAGAGATTTAGGTGACAAATTGGAAGAAAGTTACTTCATCTGTGCAAATTTAGGCCTTCAATTCCATCGTTGGCATTCTTCCTACTTCACCGTCAGGCGTTTGTTGTTCAACATACCTCTCAAGGCCATGGTGGTGATCGCAATTTCTCAAACCCTAGAAATTTTCAAGGACGAGGTAATTTCAGATCTAATAACTATTGTTCAAATTCATCTCGTAACAACTATCAGAGGTATAATCGTGGTGGTCGATCCAATTCTAATTTCTCTGGAAGAAAGATTCCATGCCAAATTTGTCGTCAATTTGCGCATGATGCAATTGAGTGCCTTCAACGCATGAATCCACATTATTCCAGTAACTCCAGCAATGTTTCACATTCTGCTATGACTGCAAGCACACAACCTACTCAACCTACCTAGATTGTTGATTCTGGTGCTAGCAATCATATGGCCAACTCCTACAAAATCCAGAGCCTTACTCCGGACCTGAGCAAGTTTACATTGGAGATGGAAAAAGTTTGCCTATTCTTCACTCTGGTTCCTCTACATTACTTACTTCTCATCACAGATTTCAACTTAGTAATGTGTTACGTGTTCCTGATTTGAAACACAATCTGCTTTCTGCAAATCAGTTTCTTGTTAATAATTGGTGTTCTATGCATCTTTATCCCTTTCACTTTGTTGTGAAGGATATTTCTTCGAGGAAGATGCTTTTTAAAGGTCCTATAAGAGATGGTTTCTATCACTTTCAACCACAATCTTCTAGCTCTATGCTCAGTCCTTATAATGCTCTTGTTGCTTCTGTTCATGCTTCCAGGGATATCTGGCATCAAAGACTTGGCCATCCTTCTCTGAAGATATTAAATAAATTGGCTGCTAAGTATTGTATCTCTTTGTCTAATGGTTCAAACAAGTCTATTTGTCATAGTTGTGCTTTAAGTAAAAGTTCTAGTTTGCCATTTGCTCATGTCTTTTGTCATATAAGTAAGCCATTAGAGCTACTTCACACAGATGTTTGGGGACCAGCATCTGTTACCTCTGTGAATAATTTCAGATACTATGTCATCTTTGTTGATGACTATACAAAATATTGTTGGTTCTATCCCTTGCAATATAAATCCGATGTGTTTCCTACTTTTGTTTAATTCAAAGGCCTTGTTGAGATCTGCTCCATACCAAAATTGTTACTCTCAGATCAGACTCTGAAGGTGAATATCTCAGTACTTAATTCTCAAACTTTCTTGTTGAGAATGGTATAAGTCATCAACTAAGTTGCCCTCACACTTCTTAACAAAATGGTTATGCTGAGCGCAAGCATAAACATCTAGTTGAACTGCTTGTCTAGATCTTACTACAAATCATTTATATATTTCCAAGCATGTGTTATTTGATGAAAGCAGTTTTCCCTTTCATAATATTGCAGTTTCTCAGTGTCCTACTCTCCCAAGTGCATCTTCATCTCAAAATACCATTCGTACTCATATCACTTTCACTCAACCTTATATCAATCATACACCTTCTTTTTCACAGTCTTTACAACCTCATACCCTACCCCATTCATCTTCTCCATCAACTTCATCTATTCCAATCCATGTAGCTACTTCATTATCTTCATATTTCCCCATTCCTCTCAATACCCATCCTATGCAAACCAGGTCCAAATCTGGTATTTACAAACCAAAAGCCTATTCTATAACCAAACATCCTCTCCATTCTCATCTTTCCCATAAATTTGGCCCCACTACCTGTCTCTAAGCTTCAAAGTATCCACATTGGGTTAAGGCAATGCAGGAGGAGTTTCATGCTCTGCAACAAACTGGTACTTGGTCCTTAGTACCCAAAACTAATCATCAAAACATTGTGGGATGCAAGTGGGTTTTCAGAATTAAAAGAAAACCTGATTGTACCATAGATAGGGACAAGGCTCACCTAGTTGCTAAAGGTTTCGATCAACAAAAAGGGTTGGATTATACTGAAACTTTTAGTCCTGTGGCTATGCTTGTGACCATTCGACTACTACTCACTTTTGTTGCTTAGTTTGATTAGAGTCTCAGTCAACTTGATGTAAGTAATGCATTCTTGCATGGAACTCTCTCTAAATCTTTCTTTATGCAACAACCCCTCGGCTTTGAGGATGCAGCTCATTCTACTCATGTGTGTCAGTTACACAAGTCCTTATATGGACTTAAACATGCCCCTCGAGCTTGGTATGAAAAATTGCATGATGCATTGAAACATCTTGGATTTACTGGATTTCAGTCTAACCACTCCTTGTTTGTCTTGGTTTATGTTGATATCATGGTCACAGGACCATCCACTGCAGCCTACACACATGTTATTTCTCAACTCAACTCCATTTTTCCTATCAAAAACCTTGGTTCTCTTCACTATTTCTTGGGTATTGAAGTTAAGAGATCTTCCAAAGGCATCTTTATTTCACAAACCAAGTATATCTTGGATCTTTTGAAGAAGGTTCATATGAATGGATCCAAACCATATGTCACTCCTCTCAGTACATCTAAGTTGGATCACTCATCTCCATTGCCTGAAAATCTTGCAGAATATCGATCTTTAGTTGTTGCTCTATAGTATCTAACCTGGACTCGGCCAGATTTATCTTTTGCAATCAATCTTGTCTGTCAGTTTATGCACAGTTTAAGGCAATCTCATTTTCAAGCTGTCAAACGAATTCTCAGATATCTCAAGGGGTCTATTGACATTGATCTTTGGTTTTCCAAATCCTCATCTGTTCCAGGTCTTAAAGCCTTCTCTGATGCTGATTGGGCCAGTTGTACAATTGATCGAAGATCAACTGGGGGTTACTTCATTTTTCTGGGATCTTCTCTCATCATTTGGAGTGCTAAAAAGCAACAAATAGTTGCTCGTTCTTCCACAGAGGTAGAGTATCAGTCTCTAGCAAATACTGCAGCTGAAATCACATGAATATGTCAGTTGATTATTGATATTGGTTTCTCTCTTCCTTCTACTCCTCAACTTTGGTGTGACAATCAGTCTGCAATCTCTCTTGCTAAGAATCCTTTGTTTCATGCTCGAACAAAGCATGTTGAGATTGATTATCATTACATCCGAGAATAAGTGTAGTCAAATGCCATTTCAGTCCATTTTGTCTACACCAAAGATCAGATTGCATATATTTGCACCAAATCACTATCCAAAGACATATTTCATCTCATACAATCCAAACTGTCTCTTCATACTCCTCAGTTTAGTTTGAGGGGGGATGTAAAGGATAGTATTGTAAAAGACTCAGTTAGTGATAAAACTTAGAGTTGGTTAATTTGTTGAGTTTGTTGTAATAGGTGGCAAGTTAGTTAGAAGGTTAGAGTTATGTGAAAGAGTGAAAAGTTGTATATAAACAACAATAGTGTAACTTTATAATTCATTCAATGAAATTCAGCTTTCTTAACACTTCTCCCACACTCTCTCAATTGAATGAATTGAAGAAGATCAATGACAAAAAACAAAAAAAGGTGTGGAAGTAAAAATGGTTGTGTGAATAGCACTATTATTTATAAAAACACAAGAGAAAATATGTATGTAAATGAATGCAAGATGACACTTTTGGTGTAGTAGTAACACCTTAATGGGTGCAAAATGATATCTTTAGAATGTCAATAGCAACACTATGTATCTTACTAATTTATCCCA